TATCTTTTTGTCTTTCTTTTTATAGTTTTAGTTATAATATTTTATATTATTAATGCACAAATTTATATCAATAATAATATAATAAATAATTAATATATTAATAGTATTATTACTAACGCCATTAATAATAAAAAATACTCTCTAATTAGTAAATAATATTATTTATTACTAAGGGCATTAATAATAATTAATATTATTTATTATTAACGCATTTAACACTATATCTTTGTTATTTTATTGTTATAACAGATAATGCGGGATTTAATAAAAAGCAAATCAGAGGCTTTGAATTTATACGGATTAAAATATATTTAATGTATACTCAGTTTGTTGTAATGCAACTAGTATGTTATAATATATATATACATATATATATATATATATATTATAAACATATATACATATAAATATTATGCGTATATATATTACGAATTGTATACCAAACGTATACGTTTGGTGTATAATAATACATATATAATATTTACAATATATTATGTTATATATATATATATATATATGTTGTATAATGTACATGATATACATGTATATGTACATCTGCATGCATGTTATATAGGTACTATATAACTATAGCAAAATATATGCGTATTATATTGCTATACTTATATAATACCTATACAACATAGAATATATGATGCATATAATATATAATATATAATATTTTGTTTAAAAATGCAAGGTGTACACCATATTAGGTTATATTTATATAATAAGATAAATACAACATATGCGTTATATCTATATACTTGAACATAGACAACATAATATGTTATATTTATAAATAATAGAATATACACAGTATATTCTTTTATATTTTTACAACAGAATATATACAATATATTACTTTATATTTGTATAATATAGTGTATTAAAATAACATTCTAGTTTTTTTCATAGAATACACTGAGATAAGATTTTATACTTACATAATATAATATACACAATATATTATTTTTATTGTACATAACAAAATATACATATAAAATATTATTTCATATTTATTTAATAGAATATATATTAGACATTATTTAGTATTTATTTACAAGAATATGCAGAGTGTGGGTGGGTGGCGGTCTCTAGACATTTGCAGGGAATGTTATGGTCTTTAAATAATAAGTTAATTTTTGAATATAATTGAATTAAATTAATTGAAAAAAACTTATAAATATATTTTTTATACACAAAATATATGTACAGACATCTACCAGTAGTGGAGGTGTGTGTACACTGCAGCAGCACTCGGCAGCGGAGCTGTTTGCTGTTTGCTGCTGTTTGTTTGTGTTTGTTTTTCGTTTGAATTCTTCTCTTTTAATATAATAAACCTGTAATATTACTATTTATATATTGAAATTTATTTATTTGCTCCCATTTTACTATTATCTCTGCTTTATTCTGTGTATATTCATACACACAAACCCCTCTCTCTTTATCTGTAAGAACTTCCTACTCCCTGGTTCTGCTGTCTGTTTTCTTGTGTTTATTTCTTCATTATTTTCTTTCCTTTTTCTAATCTAGACTTTATTTAAATACAATTAAATTAAGAAAAGAAGAAGATGGTGGCTGGACCAGCAGCAGAGCAGAGGGAGCAGCAGCAAGGTGGGAGTTGTTCGGCAGCAGCAGCAGCAGCTGCTGCTGCAGGCAGCAGCGGTATTTCTAAGGGATGTTGCTGCCGCATGAGCAGCAGCAACAGCAACAACGGCAGCAACAACAGCAGCTGCAGCGGCAAATGGATGTCGCAGGGTGTGGCGCTGGATCGCAGCATTTGTATCTGCATTGTAGGCGGAGGTAATATTGCTGCTGCTGCTGCTGCTTGGCTGTCTCGAGCTGACAAGAGTTTCTGCGTTCACGTTTTAACGAGACAGCCGCAGAAATGGAGGACAAATATCCACGTGCGGGCCAACCCGACATGCAGATGGGGAGCAATGAAACCTTATGAAGCAAATATTAACCTGTAAGAAGCGCGTGCTGCTGCTGCTGCTTATGATGCTGCTGCTGTTCATGCTGCTGCTGTTCATGCTGCTGCTGTTGATGATGTTGTTGTTGCTGCTGCTGCTGCGATGGCCTGACAGCAAGATAACTGTGAAAAGAAACATAGAAAAATAGAAAAGGAGAGAGAGACAGACAGACAGACAGATAAATAAATAGAGATAAATAAAGAGAGATAAATAAATAGAGATAAACAAATAGAGATAAATAAATATTTATTAGTACAGCATTGGCTGTCTTTTTTTCTAATAGAGTTCCTTATAGAAGATAACTTCACCTAAATCGGTGTCTGTCTTTTATCTGTTTATTGATTGAATTTCTGTTTGTTTGTTTTCTTTGTTTTGTTTTATTTAATTTAAACAGAATAACAGATAACCCCGAGGCAGCAGTCAGCAATGCTGATATCGTTGCACTTGCAGCGCCTGCACATCTTCATTTGGAATTAATTAAAAAAGTTATGCCGTACTTAAAAGACGGCGTTCTTTTCGGCACTTTGTTTGCTCAAGGTATGATATAACCTTTTACTGCTTATTATTAACCTTTATTATTATTATTACTCTAATTATTTTATTGTTATTATTGTACTATTTATATTTATATTATTGTTTGTTGTTATTGTTCATTATTGCGCTGTACTATTGTTGTTGTTTTTCTTAATTTAATATAATACTATTAGAAGAAATATTTTCTTGTTACTGTTTAGCTTTATGTTTTTGTATTACTATTATTATTTTATTGTATTACCATTAACAGACATAGTATGTATTATTATTATTATTATTATTATTATTATTATTATTATTATTATTATCCCTCTTGCTATTATTGTGATTACTATTATTTTTAAAAATTATTTTTCTGTTTGTCTCTTCTGGTGCTTTTGCTGTTTTTGTTTGTTCCACCCGTAGTCGCCGTTGGTATTGTTTTTGTTTCTGCTGTCATTATTATCACAATAGTATTATTATTATCATTATATTATATTATTATTATTATTTATTTTTTTATTTATTTATGCATTATTATTTTGTTTTCAATGATTGCAGTGTATACGCACTGAAAAAGACAGACAAATTTTCTTCCTCCTACACACCGACAAACAGACAGACCTTCACACCCCCCTCACCTTTTGCTTCGGCTAATCCTCTGCTGTTGCTGCTGCTGTTGCTGCTGCTTGCTGCTGCTGCTGCTGCTGCTGCTGCTGCAGGTGGTTTTGACTGGGCTGTTGAGAGTGCGTTAGGCGAAGGGCAGCGACGCCTCAGCGCCGTCTTTGGCCTTCAGCACGTCCCTTGGCTGGCGCGGTGGGAGGTGAGAAGAAAGACAAAAAAAGAAAACAAATAGAGCCCGCTTGAATTGTTTAAAGACATACAGATAAACAAGCTGCTCCTCTGATGCTGTTGCTGTTGCTGCTGCGGCGGTTGCTGCTGCTGATGGCTCGAGGAGGCAAAGGCTGAGGTTTGTTGTAAGGTTTGTTTTCGCACGCGTAAAGGGTGGTATGATAGAAGTTGTATCTGCTGCTCTAGCTGCTGCTTTTGCTGCTGCGGTGTTGCGTCTGCTGCTGCAGAAGCACGGCGAGTCTGTGGAGCTTATTGGGCCTAAGGAATTTCTATGTGCTGCAGTCTCCCCTCCTTGCGCCCGTTCACTGGTGCAGCAGCTGCTGCAAGTTTGCTTCGATCAGCCCTGCAAGCTGTTGCCTAACTTCTTGTGTCTCACTCTCACTCCCAGCAACCAGATTATACACCCCGCAAGGTAATCTTTGCTGATGTATACTTACATCAATTTCTTCATCCAATATATATATATATATATATATATATATATATA